GAGAGAGAGAGAGAGAGAGAGAGAGAGAGAGAGAGAGAGAGAGAGAGGGAGAGAGAAAACTCCAATAAATCATCAATGGGGCATGAAAATGAAACCATGAATTTCTTGGAGAAAAAAAGGTTCTGTTCACAATCCATATTTACTTCTGTAAATTGTTAAGGGGAAACTGATGGATTGTAATCAATTACATGTTACCTAAAAAGGAACTTCAGCTACTGGGCTCTGGTTTTTCATTTGAAAAGGGTTTCTCTTCTTCTTTACTTTCTAAACAGAAAGAGTCTCATTGTGACATTTCAACACAGATACAATGTTTCTTGATCACGCTTATCTCTCCCACTGTTCCTTCTGTTCCCTCTCTGGCCCTCTAAATAGTCTCCCTTCTCCTTTTATGTCTTTTTCATAAACCAAACACCATCTGTGCAGAACACACAATTTATTTGCCTTTCTGAGTTGGAGTTTTTATGTTTAACAACATGATTTTCATCTAGCTCCATCCATTTTTATGCATATGATATGATTTTTGTCTCTCCTAAATAAAATTCTATCTTAAATAGGTACTACACTTTGCTTTACCCATTTATTCATTGACTGACACCTAGGCTGATTCTATATCTTGGACTGAGTACAGGGTCCCCAATGGAGAAGTTAGAGAAAAGACTGAAGGAGCTGAAGGGGTTGCAACCCCATAGGAAAAACAACAATATCAACCAACCAGACTCCCCAGAACTCCCAGGTACTAAACCATCAACCAAAGTGTATACCATGGAGGGACCCACTGTTCCAGCTGCATATGTAGCAGAGGATGGCCTTATCTGGCATCAATGGGAGGGGAGGCCCTTGGTCCTGTGAAGGCTCAATGCTCCAGTGTAGAGGAATGCCAGAACAGGGAGGCGAGAGTGGGTGAGTGGAGGGAACACCCTCATAGAAGCAAGGGGAGGGGGAATGGGATAAGGGGTTTCCAGGGGGGATCAGGAAAGGGGGATAACATTTCAAATGTAAATAAAGAAAATATCCAATAAAAACAGAAAGAAAGAAAGAAAGAAAGAAAGAAAGAAAGAAAGAAAGAAAGAAAGAGGGAGGGAGGGAGAAAGAAAGAGGGAGGAAGGAAGGAAGGAAGGAAGGAAGGAAGGAAGGAAGGAAGGAAAGCACTTTTTAAAAGCATGTGTGTGTGGGACTGCGTAAGGGTATCCTGGGTCATGGATGAGCAGGTGCCTAGAACCCCGAGACTCTGCAGACTCCACGTGGGATTCTGCATGAGAACCCGCAGGAGTTTGGTGCCCCCCAGAACCCAGGATCCTGAAAAGCAGTCACGGTCTCTATAGAATTACATTGTTCAGTCACATAGGCCAGGCTATAGGCCTCAGGCCCTAGGGATTTACATACTAATGAAGGCCAGAGGGCAGAGCAAATTAAGCATGCCTCCCCCAGATCCTTCCCCAATCCTCCCCCTTTCTCCCTCCCTATATAGCGCAGGACTGCCCTGAGTTCTGGGGTTACGCCTAGATCCATCTATCATCTGCCATGACAATAAACCTTTTTGGAACCAAGGACTTCCTCATGTTATTGGGGCCTGCCGCCGCCAAGGCCTCCAGGCCACTGGAACCATAAGATTTTTCCTGAATGTGGGACCCACCACAGTGGTGGAAGCCCCTCCAGGGCCCCACCGCTGTGGCGGGCTCTAAATTTTCCCCACATTGGTGTATAATGTGATGGTTGGTATATGCTTGCCCCATGGAGTGACACTATTAGGTATGGCCCTGTTGGAGTTGGTGTGCCACTGTGGGCATGGGCTTTAAGACCCTCATCCTAGCTGCCTGGAAGTCAATATTCTGCTAGCAGCCTTCAGATGGAGATGTAGAACTCTCTGCAACTTCTGAACCATACCTGCCTGGATATTGCCAAGCTCCAGCCTTTGATGATAATGGACTGAACCTTTGAACTTGTAAGCCAGCACCAATTAAATGTTGCCCTTATAAGAGTTGTCTTGGATAGGTAGCCTTGGCAGATAATACCAACTTAGATAAGGACAAGTGAATCATAGGCAGAGTCATAATGACCTGTCCCCTGAACCTTCACCTGGCCAATACCCTGTTCTGAACGATATCTGTACTCCCCCTGAACACCCACGCTCAGGCAGTAGTGGTGCATGCCTTTAATCCCAGAACTTGGGAGACAGAGGCAGGTGGATTTCTGAGTTCAAGGCCATCCTGGTCTACAGAGTGAGTTCCAGGACAGCCAGGGCTAGACAGAGAAACCCTGTCTCGAAAAACCAAAAAAAAAAAAAAGAAAGAAAGAAAGAAAGATAGATAGATAGACAGACAGACAGACAGATAGATAGATAGAAAGAAAGAAAGAGACTACGGTAAGAGAGAAACAAATCAGTTGGGAAAGATTATACTGGCCAAATGAAGGTGACCCCAAGTATCACAATAATGACAGCAATAGATTACTCTAGCTTCAGTAAACGTATGCTAATATAAATATGTATATAAGTGATAGAAAATGGGAGAACTCTCATAATAGAGAGACAATGGATAAATGTTAGAAGTAAGGACTTCTCATTTGATAGCACTTGCACAGTTCGATTCAGCTGAGAATTGCTCAGGGATGGTAGGCATAGCTAAGACCAAGTGCAATCCCAGGTTGCTATTCTGTTTCCTATGCTTACCTGCCCTTGTTAGAAGTCTAGGCTCAGTTGAGTTGATTGAAAGCGTTCTTAGATTAGATATTTACAATGGAATGGTCATAGGAAATCAGATTTATTTTTCTTAGAAGTCCATAGCCCCATGTTTTTTGTTGGTGAAAGATCACATTGTCAGTGCAAATTCCAGGTCAAAAGAAGTAGATATCATCTCTGAGTGAAAGTAATAGCAAAATTACTGTAGCCCCCTTTGAGCTTCCTTTGTCATAACAGTTGGTGCATCTGGAATAGAACCTAAGTGGTGGATGGCAGTGATATTTCAGTGTTGAATGAATACCTGTTCTCTGAAGAGTATGTCCCACTTTAGAGGAAATAAACACTGGAGTGTTTACATCATTTAGGGACAATAAAGTACTTATCTCATCTTTAGCTTGCCCCAGCAGTGTAAAAGGGACCTGTCTTCACACATTCTTTGAAGTTCTATGTGACGCGCGCCCACCTCGCCAGCAAGGAAAACACGTGGCACCACACTAGGATCCTTCTGCAGCAAACGTTTATTCCCAATCAAAAACGGAGGAAGAAGACCCCAGGCCCGGAAAAAGCACTGTTTATATACCCTTGAAGCGGTGTGTACACCTCTGATTGGCTGCTTACTCGTAGCCCGACAAAACGCCCTGGGATGGGCTTAGACTTTGGCGCGCTTTTACCATAGCACATGCGCGGTTTACTTGTTTACTTGGAGGAACACCGGATGCCAGCGCCATCTTGGAATGGCGGATGTTGTCAGTACAAGCCGCGGCTTCCTACAGTTCTATATGTCTATGGAGAGATGTAGGGAGGGATAGAAAAAGGGCACCTGGACAAATGTATTAAAATACTAACTATTGATCATTATGGTTAAAGGGAATATGGGTGACCTGGCTATTTACATGTAAGTTGCAACATTCCAAAATAAATTACAAAATTGAAAAGAGAGAGAGAGAGAGAGAGAGAGAGAGAGAGAGAGAGAGAGAGTTGTCTTGTTTGTTCATGGTGTCTGTTCACAGCAGTAAAACCCTAACTAAAACATGTAGATATTTTTATCGTACTGACTTTGATTCTTTTGAGTCTATACCGAGGAGCAGAATAGCTGGACCAAAAGTAAATTCTATTTTTTAATTTTCTGAAGCTAAATTCATGCTGATTTCCATAAGGTCAGAAGTAATTTACTTTCTTAACCAGCCATGTAGAAGAGACCTACCATCTCCCTTCCTCAACAGCATTTGTTGTTCCTTGTTTTTCTTGATGTCAGCCATCTGATTGTTGTAGGACAGAATCTCTATCTTTGATTAGCATTTTCTTGATTGTTCTAAACAGTGAATATTTTTATATTCTTTTTGGACATTCTAGAGCTGTTTACTTTTCCATTCATGGTTGAATGGATTAATACTTTGATTATTGATATTTCAATTCTTTAAATGTTCTAGATTTAAATGTTTATGCTTTAGATGAATACCAGGCAAATATTTTCACATATTGCATAGGCTTTTCCTTCACCTTGTTACTAGTTTCCTTTTCTTTATGTTATATTTTTCGGTTTCCTATATTCTATACAGAGATTTGCATAGAAGTTAGGAAGAATATCTTTTCTATTTTTATGTAAGAATCTTATTAGTAACTAGCTCTCTCAAGATTTTTTTCTATATTCCACTCAGAGAAAACAATCTAAAAGAACAATACAGCCCTTTTTTTTTTACATTTTTATTTTCATTTCTTGTGCATTGGTGCTTTGCCTACATGTATGTCCGGATGAGGATGTCAGATCACTTGGAAGTGGAGTTATAGACAGTTGTGAATTGCCATGTGGGTGCTGGGAGTTGAACCTGGGTCCTCTGGAAGATCAGGCAATCCACTTAACCACAGAGCCATCTCTCCAGTCCACAACACAGCATTTTAAAAAAGCAATATAGCTGAGTTTTCATTGTTGCTTCTGTAGGTGATGAGACATAAACTGAGTGGAGCACTTTCAGATGCACTGATATAGAGATAATTCCCTTGGTGGTGTGGAATGGCAGGCCTTCGTGCTACACTAGGAGCTGCCCTGTCCCGGAAATGGAGGAAAAGACTCACAACTAAGATTGCTTCATCTAAAGGTAGCATGGCTATGAGGTGTAAAGTATCTTTTATTCA